AGAAGATGATCCAGCATTTAAATGAAATTAACAAAGCACCTACTGGAATTCTAAGGAAAAGTCATCTCCATGGGATGAAATATCATAAAGGGAATATTACAACAGGGTGGCCAGAAAAAAAATGTGGCCAAAGCAAATGGGTTACAGTACAGAAGTAAATTCGGGCACCCTGAATATCAGGTTTGGACTGTTTTGTAGAGATCAGAGCAGTGCTAAAGTATTTGAGATAACACAAGAATCTAGCTATTTAGTATAAGGAAGGATTGAAAGATATTAAAACAGGGAGAGTAGATGAACATCACTACAATCATCTTGGTCAGGGACTGAGTGAGATAATTATGAAGAAAGACTGAGGAAAATAATAGATTCCTGCTGCCAGGCTCATGAGCAACCTGACACTTCACATAGATCACAAAAGAATAGAATACAAACCTTCAAAGAAAAAAGGCATTTCATTATTTGTTCTCATGATCCTTTCAGAAAATGTAAGGAAAGAAAAGCATCAGAATGCAACTACCTGTAATCCACTACTTATCAGATTTCAAAAAGAAATTATTTACATTTAGGTTTTTTTAAAAAAAACTAGCATCACATAAAACTTTTCTTTTCCTTTTCTTTTTTTTTTTTTTTTTTTTGAATGACAGCCCTGTTCAGCTCCAAATCCAGCATTTTGATGGTTAAACTGGAGATAAACAGTCTCAGTTACTTTCCTGTCCAAATGGCTTCAAACTGTGATCTTGAGATCTCAGCCTCCTGAGTAGTTAGGATTCCAGGTGTGAGCCACCAGCACTCAGCTAAAACGTTCAAATCTTCTTTTCAATTAGTGTTATGACATGAGAATTAATTATCCCCCTCCCTCCCCACCCCGGCCCTGTAATAAAAGTACTGCTTTTAGAGCATCTAGGACCACCAGAAATTAGAGGCCAAGGATAATGCTTCCCAAGGACAGATGAGTTCAGGCTCTGGCCTGCAGAACTGTGAATCCATCCATTTCTATTGTTTTAAGCAGGAATGCATACATACAGGTTTACACACGTAGGCATATATATAGATTTAGGGAAATGGTAATCACCTCTGGCAAAGTACCTCCAAGCACATGTCATGCTGGTAATGGTCTTCCAAAATCAATCTACTACATTTTCACCCAAATCACTGTTACCAAATTCTATTCTGTGACTGAAATAAAGTCACTGTAACAGAGTTCACTTGCAATAGTAGACTCTAAACGTAGTTTGGTTCAATTGAATAAAGCCATCTGTAACTTCTCAAAGTCACTTTGTAGTCTTAAGGCTCAATGATAACCTGAGGTTTTCACACCACTGACACAACCCACTCCCAGGGCCAATGATAAAAAGCTATTTTCTTTACAACCCTAATACTTTGGCAAAATTACTAAGCACTTCTAAACAAAGAATGTGAAGTACAAAATCTCTAAAGATTTGACTTCATATATTTTCAAGTTTTTTGCTTCTTCAGTTTCATTTCTCCCTATATTGCTTTTTCAAAATGAACTTGTTCTTTAAACAACTTCAACATAACAAAATGCCTGGTGCAAGTCATTTGTAAACCGCCTCAAAAGCAACCAATGATACAAATAAAACTAAAACCAAACTATATAATTACCACATTTTCAGAACACAAATTTCTATATTGAAAACCCAGTGACTACCAAAAAAAACCCAAACATTATTTCTATCTACAAAATAGAAAGTCAATATATTTGAATTATATTAAAATTCACAAATGAGAACTAAATATTTGTTAACTTTAATAAAGTCTAAATAAAGTCTAATCATATAATTAAAGACAAATTCTAGAAATTTTTTTTTGGAGATAAGGTCTCCCCTACATTGTCCAGGATGTCCTCTAATTTTTGATCCTCCTCTCCAGATTATTTTATTAACTTTAAAAATGAGTGAAGAGATGATCAGACATCCTATGCCCATATACACATAAATCTAGCAGTGTCACATTCAAAGATCTTGACAACTGGTTTTCTTTACAGAAACAACTTGAACAAGAACACACATGTACAATACTAGACATCAGAAGGCCAGATGTGTTGTCTCTTGTCCGTGGTTGCCTAGCTAAAATCTTAAAATTAACTCTTGTCCAAGTTTTAAGCAGAAATACATAAGACTATAAATTTTCAGACACTTTCAATTTTCAAAAGCTGCCAAAATTCTCCCAACCCCTAGATTATTCATCGTACACCCCACTGCCAAATAAGCATTTCAAAATCACTGTTGCTGCAAGAGCAATTAGAAAATCTCGGACAGGGTTAAAACCTACTGGATGGTAAGAAGACCTCAATTCAAAAATAGAATAAAAACCTCGGATTCTAAACCCCTAGTGATGTATGAAATAAACTATTTTCTCTTAATGATAATTGAACTCATCTTTCCATGTTAACTCACTGGCTATCACAAATTACAAGTAAACACAATTATCCTCTTTGCCATTGTGTCTATATACATGTTATATGTATGTTCTGTTTAGTGGACTCTACTGCTGAAGTTTTTAAATGCTTTTGAGAACAAATTGCTGATCCTCTGGGTGGGCAGGGAAAGGGTCCAATGCAGTATGTTTGTATAATGCCCAGCACATTAATAGGATTCACCAAACACCATATTTAGTTTTTTAATTGTGGCATTCAATGTCACAAAAAAAAGAACCTATGAGTATTTCAAAAACTAAAAACTAAACATAAACCAGGAACAGAGAACTAGGGCAAAAAAAATCACCTAGATTATATGGGCCAATTTTCTTTCCCCAGATTTCTAACAATATAAATCTCATGAGCAGGGCTTGGTACTGCACTTCAGTAATAACCAGTACTAGAAAGGCTGAGGCAGAAGGATTACAGAAGTATCACAAATTTAGCCTGGGCTAAAACTTAGCAAGACCTTGTCTCAAAATAAAAATTTTCTAAGGGCTATGAGTGTAACTCCAAAGGGCTCACTTGCCTAGATTGTGTGATATCTTAGGTTTAATCGTGTGATAATTTTCATGGTGTATCTAACTTTGCACACATGGTGTATCTAACTTTGTGTACAATTTGGGTCCACAATCTTCCTGTCTTATTTTTAATACCTCCTACAGCCATAGTGTCAGGAACACTATTGGGCCAAGAGACAGGAACCATACTTGATGGCTCATCGCTGCATTTGTTGTATTATACACAAGACCACATAAATGGAAAAGCTATTGGGGGGGGGGGGGTCAAAAGAAAAGCCTGACTTTATGTCATCGTAAGTGGTATGAGATGAAGACACAAAACTATTTCACCGCCTACCCAAAAAGCACAAAAACAAATAAGTAAACTAAGTTTTCTTAATGAGGAAAAGAGAAAGTTGGCCTCCCTCAATGGAGATATTATTTTACCCTTTGAAGTAAAGTTTCAGCCAGTCTAACTGGTACAGCTTTCTAAAGCAATGACTGTTTTGCCGTGCTAAGTGAATTGCCTAAATAGAATAATTTGCAAAAACACAAACTGTCCTAACTTTTAAGACTTATATGGGGTCAGGAAAATACATTGAAAAGCAGTTGTTCAGGTACAAGAAGATAGTGGAACTCCCAAGTCTCCATTTCTTTGAAATGTCAGCCTAATCCTTACATTTGTGCTCTAAAAACAAGCATGTCAACACTTTGCAAAATGTTTGCCACTGGTAAAAAGGCAATTTTCAGCTCCCTGCGTTTTTCAGCTTCCGGTGTACAATTCACCGAGGTGCATTGTACAACTGTATTCAGAATAAAATCTTACATTTACAACAACTGTATTCAGAGTAACATATAATATTTACTTTGCATAATCGTAAGTATGTCTTCTGGTTTCATCACTTAAGTAATTCCCATTTTACAAGTAAACAATGTGTCTTAAAGATACTAAGAAATTCCTTCTCCATGTCTGATTGCACGCTCAGAATTTTACCTTGCAGACGGCGGTGACCCTACAACCCTCTTTCCGAAGGCACAGTCCACCTGTAAAAACGCTTTGTTATTTAAACCGAGATGTGTATCCTTCAGGCGTCAGCGTGTCTCCAAGAATGCTTAAGAACTATGCGGGGTCTTCAAAAGTCGAGGGGGGGGGGAACTGTCTTGGGCGTCTAGATTAATATACTTTCACGAGCAGGCATTTGATAGGAATCCATAGACATCCTAACTATACAACATTCTGAACCCTTCGCTCAGAAGTTTCCCGTCCACACAGGGACTAACTACCACCGCCAAAGGACCGCTCCGCAGCTGCAAGGCTTTATTCTGATGATGAAAGTTCTAGCAGAACATCCTCGAAGAGCATTCGGTGGGTGGTGGGGTTTTTAACCCTTTGATTCAGTTCACCTGAGTCCCCTTGGTCCCTAAATTCACAAAAGGTGTTTAGCCCAGGTTGGGGGGGAGGGGGGAGAGGTTGACTCATCAGAGAAGAATGCGGCTGATGAGTTATCTATTAATCCAAAAACGTCTCAGCTAGCAAGCTATTTCACCCAGAATTTAGCCCCGAAAGGTAAGGGGGGGCTGGGAGGGGGGAGCCGAGGTAACTTTGCAACGAGCACTTCTCCCTCAATCTCTCCCTGAAGCTAAACTCCCTAATTTCCAGTACCGGGGCCAGAACTAAGTCCTGACCGACGCTCCGGGTCCCAATCATCTAAGGTCACCCAGGAGTCAGTGCTCGATTCCGCTTTTAAAAGTCCTGGCAAACAAAGCTGAACATTTATACTTACAAAAGTCTCCCGAAAAGTCCTCAAAGTTACGCAATCGGAGACACTCAGACACACGAGGACACACACACGCACGCATGCACACACGATCGTCCCGGGGCCACACTTTTTTTGGGGGGGGCCGCGCCTCCCGCTTAGGACAGGCAATCCCCAAACTTTCCGCCTCGCGCCCCTCCCCGCGCGCAGCCGGGCGCCCCGGGACGCGCCGGCGCCCGCACTTCCGAGCCAGGGGCGCAGCCGCCACCGCACCGGCGTGGGGGTGGAGGGGGGGCGGCTCCGTACCTCTTCCTCCTGAAGATTGGCCTCGTTCGGGGTGTTCTCCTTCTCGACTTTGCCACCGTTGTTCATCTTCCCGGACCTGGCTGGCCGCGCGGGGCTGGGGCGCGGGGCTGGCGAGGGCGCGCTCGCCCGCTTCTGCCTTCCCCCGGCGGGCGCGGCGGGCTGCGGGGAGCGGAGCCGGGCGGCGGCGCTGGGCGCTGAGGCTCCCGCGGAGCGGCGCGGCGACACGGCGGCGACCGGCGACTCAGGAAGTGCGAGGGAGACGGGGCAGGGCGCGGGCGCCGGCCGAGCGAGCGAGCGGCGGACGGAGACAATCGGGACCGGCCCGGAGAGCTGGGCGGGCACGAGGGGGATGGGGGGGAAGGAAGGAAGAAAGGATGGGGCGAGGACGCGCGTCCCAGGAGGGCGCCCCGAGGAGTTGGGGAGGCGGCCGAGGTGGGGGTGTCCACGCGGGAGGAGGCGGAGGGCGCGGTGGCGCGGGACAGCGGGCCGCGGCGGGGACGCGGGCACCCGGAGAGCCGCTGAGTGCGCGCTCCTGGCCGCCTGTGGGAAGGACGGGATCGGAGCAGCTCCCTTTCTCTCGCCCTCCTCCCTCCCCTCCGCCGTCCCCTCCCCTCCCTCCGCCCTCCCTGGAGTTGGGCTGCCGGCTCGTGCGGGGAGGGACGGGACGGGAGCGCCGTAGCCCCCCTCCGGAGGAGGGGCCGCTGCCCGGGCCGGATGGCGCGCGCCGGGTGGGAGAGGGGGGCGGCAGGCGGAAGCGGCCGACCTCAGCACCACTCTGTGTTGGGGGCGGGGGGATCGCAGATCCCCAGACCGCCCTGGGGACCCCGGCGTCCGAGCCCACCCTGCCCGCCTGAGCTCCACACCCGCGAGCCTCAGCGACCGTGGACGCCGAGCGGACACGTGCTACTTTTGTTGGCCTGCTCTTTTGAGGGATTTGCACCCTCAGTCCTAAGTCTACCCTATTTGTCGGTGCCAGGTGAGCCCCTGTTCTACCCCTCCCAGGCCTCAGCTGGAACCCAAGAGAACTCAGGTGACACTGGGCACACAGCCCCTTCCAGGCTGACTTCGAATCCATTCACGATGCCTGCAAAACCTCTTAGCCTACTCACACGGGCTGTGACCCCTGATCAGAGTAGCACAGCCGTCACCAGTATGTTCTGGAAATTATTTGTTTACCTGGCCAGCTCTTCCTGCAGAGAGCCCCTTCCCGCCATACAAGACGCAGCAGCCCTGTTTATCTTTTCAATACCATGGCTACTTCAATGGGCTGCCTGTCTATAGTAGGCGCTCAATAAATATTTGTTGATTGGGTGAATGAGTCACTGCAGAACAAACGTAGGTCAGGACCCACAATCTCCGCAGGGTCAAAGCACCAAGTACTCCACATCTGGTCACGTAGGAGCCTCAGACAAAAAGAATCTAGATTCAGTTTCCCCATCTGTGAAAGGAAGGTTATTCTATTTATCGCCCCCCGGGGGTTTTTAAGATGACAGGCCAATAGAGCTGTAGCAAGTAGAGCTCATTGTTGCTCAGTTGATTTTTACCATGCAAGGAAGCTAACATTTTTTAAGAAAGTTTGTGCTGGCCACTTGTGGCGCATACCTGTATTCCTACCTACTTTAGGAGACTGAGCTATGAGGATTGGTGTTAGAAGCGTGCCTAGGCAGACAAGTCCGAGACTCATCTCCAATTAACCAGCAAAAAGCCGGAAGTGGAGGTGTGGCTCAAGTGATAGAGTGCTAGCTTTGAACGACAAAGCCAAGAGAGAGCACTCAGGCCCTGAGTTCAAGCAAAAAAGGAGGGGAATGGAGAAGAAAGATAAAAGAAAGGAAGGAAGGAAAGAAGGGAGGGAGGGAAAGGAAGGAAGGAAGAGAAAAAAAGGAAAGAAAGAGGCTTTCATTTATTCTTAGGCCTTGGAGAGTGTTACCAACATAAGCTTTTTAATTTGATTGCTTACAAACGTCATGAAACCCAGCACCAATCACAAACTTCTAATTATTTACTTATCTCCCCCTCCCCCACTAGACATTCTTTACCCTACAAAGATTTAAGTGCTGCTGGGTGGGGGTGGCGGGTGGGAGCTGGAGATAAGGGCTCTCTCTTTAGGGAGTTGGAAGTGGTGTTGTGGAGACAAGATACCCAAAACAACCCCACAGCTACATAATCACCGAATCCTGGTTCAAATTAAAGAAAGCAAAACACACACTTTCTTTTTCTTTAAAGGCATTATAAAGAGAAAAACAATAGCTATACTTGGATTTATATGTTGAGTTTTTTCTCTTGGGGGAAGGGAAGCAGGGAAGTGGGGGGAGGGAAGGGCTGGAGATTAGAGAAAGAGTTTCTAGAGGGGGAAAAATGGTTTTCTTTCATTGTTGTCATTGTTCTCCAATGGAACAAATGTGTATCCGGGAGGGAAATAAACTAAGATACTATTGAAACTGATGAAGTTCAGAATAAGGAAGGCCACAATTTAATCTAGAAACTCTGTCCGTGTTTTGCTATGTTGGTTGTGTTTGTTGGCAGCTGAAGGCTTGTCCTTGCCAACTATTCCCTCAGTTACATGAGAAACCACGAGGGGGCAATGTCTTCCTGAGCAATCACTGAGTGGTGGTCTTGACCCCTATTGCTAGCCAGTAATGCCAGCACTTTGCCTTCCTGTTCCTGAATGCATTACACAGAAAGGCTTTGTTTCTCTGGGGCCTGGCAATGGTGCAAGACAAATGACAATTAACCAGTCCCTGATGGTTCCAGTCAGAGCCCACTCAGAAGATGGAATCTGTTGTATGATCTCAGGATGCTTGCATGAACCTCCCTAGCCCCACCCAGAGAAAGGTGGCTTAATTCCAAATGTTGAACCTGATTCTTTTGTCTTTAAGCCAAACCCGGACTTTGTCCATTGTTAAAAGTCAGAAACCTCCAGGATAAAAAACAAAAATAAATTCCATGACAGAAGCCATGTCTGGCTTCATTGTGTTCAGGATGTGTACCTAAAATATAGTAAGTGCTCAGTTGTTTTTGAATGAATAACACATTAAGTTCCATCAGTTACTGAGTCTCGGGCTTCAACAACATCTTTGGATCCTCTCAAGCCCTTTGTGGAGGAACTGAATCTGTACAAGCTCTCAAAGGCAGAAGAGTCACCAGGGCTACCCTTAGTCAGGTCTTTTATATTCATTACTTGGAAAGGGGTGGGGCCTAGATAGAGACCTTGCACAGCTGGGGGCCATTGATCAGATTTCTAGAAATAAAAGTCAAAGCCAGACTTGGGTCAATCCTGTAATCCTAGCTACTCAAGAAGCAGAGGTCCAATAAGTAATAGCACAAGACAAGAAACCCTCTCTGGAAAGAAGAACAAAACTGAAAAAAAAAGCATAAGGAGCGGGATCAGGCTCAGTGTTATAATGTTACCAACAAGCATCCCACCCTGTACCACAAAAAATAAAATCACAAGCAAAATTCCATCCCCATATTGACTCATCAGGCATTAAAGTCAAGACAGCAGAGATACTTGGAGTACAGAATGAAATGCAGGCTTCTCCACTCTGTATGAGGACAGGAGAATGTGCCAGAGATAGCGATTTCTGTTTTCTGCCCTTCCCAGGAAAAACAGACTTATTTGGAAGAAAAACCAAGTGACGTATTATCAACAAAACCCCAGGAAAATCTGTAAACAGACTTTGACTATTTATACAACTTGGTGACTGATGGCAAAAAACTAGAGTGAGAAAGAGAGAGTAGTGGGAAGGAGAGACGTACATTCAGTCAGGCTATAAATGATCTTTATGATTTGTTTACTACTTCAAAGAAAGTAAGTTTCAAGAGTGAGCACTCCTTGGTAGCGATAGTTTCCAGGCATACTAAAAATTATAAGACAACAAAGGGGTTTTATATCCTAGAAAAATTGGGCTAATGACCAAGAAACATCTGCCCTCTCCCCTGCCCAGTGCCCTGCCATATTCCTGCTTGGCCTCTGAGGTTACATACCAGATGGGAAGGGAAATATTGTTTGCACCTGTAGATTTTATTACTCATTGTTGTTTCTTTGGCACTGTTCCTTTTAAGGCTGGCTTTAAGAAATCCAAACCCATAATCATGTCTTAAATGTTTGTCTCTGGGAATTGTAGACATTGAAGATCTATTTTAAGGCTGTTTGCATGGCCCAGGGTCTACCTAAGCCAACATCTATAGCCTAAAGCTAAAGCATCTACCACGTGTTGTGACTGTTAATTCAGCCTGTCTATTAACTCTGCCTACCAAAGAAGATCTTGAAGCCAGAGGTTGCATTTTATTGCTTTTATTTTTGTCATGTTTATGTTTAAACAACTATCCCTCTCACCACACTTCCACCTTCTCTCTTGGCTATCACCATCTTTTCCCTTCCCATTTATTTATGTGTTTTTTGTCTAATAGTGACAAAAGACACATAAAATTTACCATCTTAAGGGCTAGAACGTAGCTCAACTGGTAGCCTAGCAATTGTGAGACCTTGAGCTCAACCCCAAGTACCATTATAAAATTTAAAATATAGCAAGACATTGATGGCTTACTTCTGGAAACCTTGAGAGACTGAGATACTGATACTTGAGAGACTGAAATCAAGAGAATTGTGGTTTGAAGTCATCCGGTTTCATCCTGGACAGAAGGTTTCCTGAGACCCCTTCTCAACGAAACACTGGACAGAGTAATACATACATGTCTGTGTTCCCAAGCTACATGGGACACTGAAATTGGGAGGATCATCATATGTCCAAGCCAGCATGGGCAGAAAATTCCATCTCAATGGAGGGAAGAGGGAAGCTTGATGTGGTGGTCCACACCTGTCATCCTAGCTACAATGGGAAGCCTGAGTAAGTAGATTCCCAGTCCAGGTATATGCCCAGGAGATAGTGAGACCTTATCTGAAAAATAACTAGTAAGCCATATGGTATACACGTGTGCACATCTGAGGAAATCAAAGAGGAGGGCACAGAATCAGAGGGAAACAGGTGAAAAAATATAACAGAGGCAGGGCACCGGTGGCTCATGCCTGTAATCCTAGCTACTCAGGAGGCTGAGATCTGAGGATCACGGTTCAAAACCAGCCTGGGCAGG